CATTTGATCAACAAAATGATATTTCTGAGCTGTTTGTACCCATTAAACTCCGCCAGTGTGGCCATAATACTCAGTATTGAGTCACACAGCCTGTCCTATTCCAGGATTAAGGAGGAAGGATAGCAATAAATAGTAATAATAGTATTCCCACAGAGGCCCAATTAGATCCCGCAGGGCCTTAGTCACCCTCAACACATGTTGGACATCAACACTCTTTAAGCAGAAGTTATATCAGTAACTATTGAACTGTTTTATTTCTTGGATTTTGGAATGTCCTGAGCCTATATGTACCATGTGCTTTGAAAGAGCTAATAGACCAGATCGACATTTATATAACCGACACCGCTGTCATCCAGGAAATTTGCTGTTATGACAAGGTATCATGGAGAAAATACAGCACACTTTATATTACAGCTACCATGAACATTATCCCATATATATTATTAATAATAATATTGGGCAGCATATCCTACGAGTTACATTTAGTGATAAAGGAGAGAGACCCTGGTAATCAGTTCAAAATAATGTTAATCAATGATTTAAAATGATAATTTTATTTTAAATTGTTTCTTAATATTAATTGTTATTTTGGCTCGATAAAGGTCTGGGGATAGAAACTGGATGTCAAGAAATAAAAATACTATTCTAAAACAATGGAAAAAACATCTTTCTAATCTGTTTTTTTCCCCTCCTAAAGTACATTTGTCCATTTTTAAAAATATTATTCACCATGAATGTACATAGACATAGACCTTTACACTGATAGATAAAGTTGCATATATATATATATATATATATATATATATATATATATATATATATATATATATATATATTGGCTTAGGTCAATGTCTTTGTAAAATTTATTGTTTATACATTATCATACATATTAATAGTATATTATTATCAATTATTTGTTTAATTATGTTATAATGGTTAAATTAATTTATGCTTATTCATTATATATAAGTGTATTTGCTTTACTGGTACTGGTATGTTAAAGTTAAACACTTTCAGATCGATTAAAAACAGGAGTAACCATCCCCCCCTCAAGGGGGATAGCGAATGACCTCTATCCTCAAAACTTTATTGCTCTCCTTTTTTGAAAATGATGTTAATGAAAATAAAATTATAAAAATTTTAGTTTAGCTTTTTCTATTGTCCTTGATTTGATAGTTCTCTTCAATTGAAATCTCACAAAGATATAATTCCCTCTAAAAATTCGTAACCCAATAAATATATGCTACCCATAAAAATATCCCTCCTTCAAAAATTTTTATGGCAGAACTTGCGCCATGCATTCCTCTTCTGGGTACCCCTGCTGATTAAAAGTGTTTGGTAATAAATAAAGATCTAATTTTTATATTTCATCTTGTTTCTGTTATCATTCAATGAATGAAAAAATCTACAACAAAGAAAATTCTAAACAAAAATACGCATTTTTGAAATTAAATATCAATATAAATAATATCAGTTATCATAATAAAAATATACCATTGGATGTGTAAAATTATTTGATCTACCCTATCAACTCTTTGTTTGTATAATAGCAGAGATGGTTAAATGCTGCTCTGGGTAGTGAGTATCAAGTATTTTACTCAAATACTGACCTTTTTTAAGTGCCACAGAATTTAATTACTACTTTAGTTGATGACAAATGATTAACTGAAGTAGTGATTGAATTCCAAAACAGTGATTCAATTTGAGTAAAATACTTGGTACTCGGTACTCAGAGTATAATTTGCCCATCTCTGTATTACAAGCTACTTTTAACATCTTTGATAAAATAGTTTATGTTTTAGTGGATTCCTTTTACACTAGCATGGGCAGTTTAAATTTACTGAACATTCCTGTATTCAGAGGTTTTACAGTGTGTGTGAAATATAATATTTTAAAGGGAATAGACATTGTTTCATAGGATGGAAAAGAAAACAAAAATAACAAACAAATATATGATTATATTTATGATTTATATTTATACAAATTTATGAAGTGTTATTATATTCCACAATTAGACAATTATTGTGCAGGCGTTAAGGTGGGGCAACCAGGGCAACTGCCCTGGAATGCCAGCCGTTCTTCAATTCTATTTATTAGAAATTAGATAAAAATATAAAATATATTAAAAAGAATAAACTTTAGTCTATCATTTCAGCAACTGTATCAGAGAAATGTTAAACAAATGAAACAAAATTCAAATATTACGCAATATAAAGCAGCTTAAGAAATAAATTTAATTTTTTTAGGCAGGGCAGATGACGCCATTACCCGGGGGTGCTGATTGTCTAAGGCTGGCACTGTACATAAGCCCAGTGAAGTCACAAGTGAGCTATCAGCCATTAAAACATAATTTACTTAATTATATGAACAATAAAAACAATTTGAGTTTATTTAAACTTAATTATCAAGAAAACTCCATATTCAGTGAAATGTTGATAGATTTCCTCTATAATATCATTTTTATAATTGATATTTTTATTTATATTTTGGGGTTTTATATCAATAATTTATAAATATACACACATACAATAATTCAGTGAATACTGAGTTTTGAAAAATAAGTTTAACCAAGTTATAACTGTTTCTATTGTTTATCTAATTTAGGAAATTATGCTTTAATGTTCATGAAATGTTTGTAACAATCCAAAATAATGCAAATGGACCTCTTTTTCTGTTTCATTTTTATTTATTTAAATACATATACATTTCTTATGACCAGGCCTTGTGATTAAATCCATTTCTTAATGTACACCAAACCACTTATTTGCACAAGTCTCAAAGAGTGATTTCTAATGGACTTTCACTCAATGCCAGTAACCTCACAAGTTCACAATTGGTGGCATGATGAAAAATGTCTAATGCAGTTCCTATGTTAGCACCTTCCATTACTCATTGGTCTATCATATCTCATAGATATCATATTATAGCAATTTCTGAAACCTGGCTCAAGCCCTACATCCCGCCCTCCACTGTCTCCCTGCCGAACTACACCTTAATCCGCCATGATCGAGAAAGCCGGACTGGCGGTGGTGTAGCTATATATGTCAACGAAAACCTCAAGACCAGAATACTTGACTGTTCTCCTCCATCCGATCACCCACAAACCGAATTCCTTATTCTTGAGATTTCCTGAAATACCTCTCCTCTCCTATATACCCTAATATATCGACCTCCTCAAGTTGTCTTTGAGCCGTCTTTTGAATCATCCCTCTTCAACTAGGTTCCCCTTTATTCCAAAATTATCATTTCCGGTGACTTAAACACTAATCATCTTTCTGACTCCTACGATAAATCATACCTCCAAAATCTTTTCGTTGCTCTTCATCTTTTCATCGTTCCTTTTTCTCCCACTCACCATACCTCAAGGTCCGACAATTGGCTGGTCATGTACATTATCTATTCCGCTCAGAATCTCCTTTCGTCTTCAAAATCACCAATCTCCTTTTTATCCCCTCATGACCTAATCCAAATTTCATATAATATTCAAACTCCTCCGATCCTAACTAGAACCATAACTTTCCGTAATCTTGAAGCACTTACTCGGAAAAAAATCCTACCTAGCCTAGAATTGGGATGGAATATATTCCGGTTCCTCTATTGATTCCATGGTTGACATCTTCACCTCCAATTTCCTTAATATCCTCTTGATACCCATGCTTACTTCAAAACCTCTACCTTTCATAGACGTCCGGCTCCCTGGATGTTTCAGCAAATCAAAGATCTTCAGAGCTTGCTGACCAGGCCATCGTCCGTACTTTAAATAAAAATTCTAATCCTACTTCCCCTGAAGATTTCCGTCCAATCTCAATTCTCTCTAACCTTTCAAAACCCCTAGAAAGAATAGGGCAATCCCAAGTGTCTAATTTCCTAGAACAGTCCAGTCAACTTGACCCATTCCAATCTGGTTTTACAGCAGGTTACTCCACACTATCCGCCCTAATCAAAATCATTAGTGATGCTCAATCCGTCATAGATGATCAAAAGCTAACTGCCCTTGTACTCCTCGACTTTTCCAAAGCCTTTGATACCATCAACCATTCCATCCTATTTTCCAAATTAAAATCATTAACCTTTTCTAACAGTTCTATCCTTTGGTTTCAATCTTTTCTTTCTCAACGCACCCAAGCAGTCTATTTCCAATCAACCTTTGTCTTCCTATCTTACTCTGACTTCAGGAGTGGCCCAGGGCTCTAGCATATCGCCTCTTCTTTTAAGTTCCTACATCAAAGACCTTCATAAATCCATCCTGCACTGTTCTCATCACCTAAATGCCGATGATTTCCATATTTGGAATTCTCCCTCAGAGTTGCAAGATGCGTTTGCCAAAATTCAAGAAGACCTAAACCGCATCAATGCTTGGGCAAACTTAAATGGACTAAGATTAAACGCTGCCAAAACTCAAGCCATTTTAATTGGTTCCAAACCACTTCTCAGATCCAATACCAACATTCCTATCCTATACCTAAATGACCATCCCATCACCTTCAGCTCCACAGTAAAAAATCTAAGCATTTTCATAGACCAAACCCTCTCCTGGAATCACCGTATTACTCACACCTCCCGACGTTCAATTGGTACCTTGAAACTATTCCATCGTTTCCGTCATCTCCTACCTATACCCACACGTAGACTCCTAGTATCGTCCCTCATCTTCCCCCACCTTGATTACGGCTGCGTGGTGTACGGTGACCTTTTGGCTGAACTTGGGGAGAGACTGAAAAGAATTTTGAATGCCTTCGTAAGATATGTCACTGGGACCCCGAGACGTTCCCGTGTTTCTCACCACTATACTGAGTTAGGGTGGCTCTTCCCTTCCTTCCTTCCCTTCTTCCCTTTCCCTGAGGGAAATAAAATTATAAATTTTTAAAGTTATTCCTTTCCCTGCCTTTGATCCACCAATAACTGATGGTGTTCCTACTGCCTTTGACATGGAGGTGCCTTTGACAGAGTGGTGTAATGTACAAATGTCGCAAGATTTAAAGATAGAATTCATAAACATTTTACAAAAAATTAACTGGATCCTGAAAATAAACTTTAATTAGAATATAAGCAAATAATAAGCTAGAATGTGTTACATTGCAGTTTATAATTTCAATTTGAAGAAGTGTCAGTTTAATGAGAGAGGGTAGAATTATATTCTTGCAGGACTGCAAACTAGGAATACTATTAAATATGTGCCGTAAATAAATAAAAAATTAAAGAACAACAGAAACTGGTGTAGTTTCTGTGCAAATCTTTTATGTATATTCAATCATATTAAAAAAAATAAATAATTGTACACTTTTGAATGTATACCCTTCAAATTTAACTGGAATAAACATTTTTTCTTTTACTACAGGTTAATATAATTAATATTGAGCAACAGATAATATCTGTTTGGTGATTTTTTTTTAGCTTTGCAATATGTTTTATAAGCTTATTTTAATAATGATATGCTGCTCAGATTTGGAAAAAGCCTTGTTGTACTAGGAATTAATCAACTAGGTAGATTTATTTTTAGTAAAAACTATGTTTCCACTATGTTGAATAATTTAGGTTTTATTACAACCTTACAATGTTCCAAGACTAGCATAAAAGGAAAAAAATTAGTCAATTACCAAATATTATCAATTTGCACTGAGGGAAATAAAATTATAAATTTTTAAAGCTATTCCTTTCCCTACCTTTGATCCACCAATGACTGATGGTGTTCCTACTGCCTTTGACATGGAGGTGCCTTTGACAGAGTGGTGTAATGTACAAATGTCGCAAGATTTAAAGATAGAATTCATAAACATTTTACAAAATATTAACTGGATCCTGAAAATAAACTTCCAGGAGAATATAAGTAAATAATTAGCTTGAATGTGATACATTGCAATTTATAATTTCAATTTTGAAGAAGTGTATGTTTAATAAGAGAAAGTAAAAATATAAAATTATATTCTTGCAAGACTGCAAACGAGGAATACTATTAAATATGTGCCGTAAATAAAAATAATTAAAAAAAAACACAAACTGGGGAAGTTTTTGTGCAAATGTTTAATATATTTTCAATCATATTAAAAAAATAAATAAGTGTACACTTTTGAATGTATACCCTTCAAATTTAACTGGAATAAACATTTTTTTTTCACTCGAGGTAAACATAATAAATAATGAGCAACAGATAATATCTGTTTGGTGATTTTTTTTTTAGCTGTGCAATATGTTGAGGGAAATAAAGTTGTAAATTTCATAATTAAGATGTAATATGAAAATTACTCTATGTCGCTCAGCACTCTCTACTTTCAAACACAAGGCAGCCATCTACTTAACATGGGCACAGGCCAAAAAAATTCTTTGGGTATCCTTCCACTAAATATTTCATGTTTTATTATTTTTTTATAATTGCACTAATGTATGGATTGTTGTATTATGGAAATGAAACTTACTACTACATTATGGCAAGCATCAATTGTTATTATAAAATACAATTATTTTTGGGAACAGTGGTCAGAGATGAAAATACATTCAAATCGTGTTCCTGTACTAAGGAGATTTTTTTTTTTATCTTTATTATGCCTCATTCATTATTTATTTATTTATTCAGATAAACAATTTAAAAGGATAAGTCGGTAAGGAACTGCATGCCCAACAAAATAACTTTCTTATACAAGTTAATTACTCTTAAAGAAAAAAAGAAAATAAGTTGAAAAATTGAGGAAATTAAGAAATAAACACACTCTGAAGAAGCGTCACATAAGCGTCAAAGGTTTAAAGGTATAGGATCAGGAGAACAGAAGCTCCTAGGCGCTAAGGCTCCCTGTCTGAGCTATGATCTTAGCTTAACTTGAATGCAACTTCTCGCCAATTTATACGTTTATAGTCTTATTATCAAGGATGACTTTTATAGTTAATATTTAAATGTTTCATACATAGTATCAGCATAATATACGAACATATTTTAAGATTAAGTTTAATATTAATAAAAAAATAATAATAAAAAGGCTTAGCGAACCCGAAGGTTCGATGCCGACACCACCAATCGCTTATTACACACCTCCCTCCACCGTTCGCCGTCCATACCCGGTCCCTTCAGATCAGCTTTAATGCAATCTTCCCACCTTCGCTTCGGTCTACCCCTCGGACGCTTACCATTCGGCACAGCATAACCTTTTATATATATTTTTTATTAACCTTTTAGGAATTCTCTCGTTACTAAGTCCAACAACTTTACAAGCCCATTTGATTCGCCGCGATGAAATTATCTCAATTATATTACTCGGATACAGTTCACGCAATTCGGCGTTGTGTAACCGTCTGAACTCTCCGGTTAACTCATCCTTCTTCGGTCCGAATATTCTACGCAATACTTTATTTTCAAAAACCTTAAGACGCTGCTCATCCCTTAATGTAAGCGGCCAAGTTTCGCATCCATAAAGAACTGTAGGCAAGATAATTGTTTTATAGATTCTAATTTTTAAGTTTCGGGACAAAAGGCGCGAACTAAGTAGTTTTGTCACAGAAAAATAACAAGCATTTCCCGCCTTCAGTCTAACCTTAATTTCTTCTTCAATTTCGTTTTTTCTAGTTATCGTAGAACCTAGATACCTAAACTTATCTACCTGCTCAAACATATTACCATCTATATCGATATCACCAGTAGTATCGCCATTTTTGCAGCTAACCATATATTTTGTTTAATCCACGTTTATTTCGAGTCCTAGTTCTTTACCGGCTTTCATTAACGTTGTCGTATTTAGTTTTATAGTTTCAAGTCTTCGCTTAACAGTACCAGATCATCAGCATAGCCCAGCACGGATGTTGTCCCACCCAGATCCAACCCTTTCTCGGTAAGCATTACCTTCCTAATGGCATGTTCTAATGCCAAATTGAACAGGACAGGCGAAAGGGAATCCCTGTTTTAAGCCCGAACGAACCTCAAATTTTGCGGACAAATTATTACCGATTCTAACTTTATTGAGTGTCTCCGTCAAGCACATCCTGACTAGATTTACTAATTTTTTAGGGATCCCGTGCTCGATTAGAATATTATACAGTTTCTGGCGGTCAATAGAATCGTAAGCCTTTTTAAAATCTATATACAGCTGGTGAACAATACCGTTGTACTCCAATTTTTTCTCTAATATTTGCCGTAAAGAAAATATTTGATCAATAGTCGAATGATTCCGTCTAAATCCGCATTGGTAGTCTCCGATAATTTCCTCGGCGTATTCCGTGATTCGACTGGTTAAGATTAAAGTGAATATTTTATAACATACCGGAAGGAGTGAAATTCCTCGATAGTTATTACAATCCGTCCTCGGACCCTTTTTGTGAATCGGAATAAGAATAGATTCTTTCCATTCTTCAGGTAATTTCTCATTCACCCAGATCTTTTTAACCAACCGATGTATTTTAGAAACTCCAGCTTCCCCGCATGCCTTAATTAGTTCAGTAGGAATATTATCGGTTCCCGCTGCTTTATATGATTTTAATTTTCCGATAGCTACTTCAACTTCCTCTTTACTTGGTCCTTCTATTAACGGTTCAGCACTCTGGTACTCAGAAGGAGGACACAGATCATAATTTCCCGTATTTAAAATATTGTCAAAGTGGTCCTTAAACTTATTCAATATGTCAACCGGATCGGTCAGAATATTGTTATTATCATCCCTAATTCCAGACGTTACGGGCCCTACACATTTACGTGATCTGTTTATACCTTTGTACATGTCTCTTACGTTATTTTCGATTCTATTAGTTTCTATTTCAATTATTTTATTTTTAAGATACTCCCTTTTTTTATTTTTGAGCAATTTTGTCGTTTCGTTCTTTGAGGTTCGGAAGTATTCCAGATTGTCTTCGCTAGGATTATTTAGAGCTTTTAATTTAGCGGCTTTTCGTTTTTCGCACATGTTTAAGCAATCTTCATCAAACCACGGTTTGTTATTCTTATTTTCCTTTTTTCCTAGACACGAGTTACCGACCGCTTTAATATTATCCCTGATCTCTACCCATAACTTGTCAATATCCTCGTGGTCCTCGTCAGGAAGCTCTAAAGCTTCAAACCTATTCTTAACATCTAGCTCGAATTGGGTTCTAATTGATGGATTTTTTAATTTGTCCAAATTAAAATTCTCAAAATCGAAACGGTTTTCTTTTCTCTTTTTTATATTAAGTTTTTGTCGAAGTTTCGCGATTACTAATTCATGATCCGACCCACATTCTGCTCCGCGATAAGACCGTACATTAATTATACTGCTTTGCCAGCTATGTTGTATCAAGACATGATCGATTTGATTTCGTGTTTGCGAATCCGGTGATGTCCAAGTATATTTATGAATATCCTTATGTTTAAACGTCGTACTTTTAATTATCAGGTTTTTCGAGATGGCAAAGTTTATCAGACGGATCCCATTATCATTACTATATTCGTGCAAACTTTCTTTACCAATCGTCGGAATATAAACTTCTTCCCTTCCTACCTTTGCGTTCGCGTCACCTACAATTATTTTCATGTAGTTTCGCGGTAGTTTATCATAAACCCATTCGAGTTTATCGTAAAATTCACTTTTGACTTCATCGTCACTGTCTTCGGTCGGACAATGTATGTTTATTAATGCGATTTTAAACCAACGTCCCTGAAATGTGGCTACCGAAATTCTATCACTAAAGAATTGTACGTCCCTCAAAGCGGATAGTAATCTACTCCTAATTAGAAACCCGGTACCCAAACAATGATTCCCGCTTCCTCCGTACCAAATAGTGTACTTTCCTTCCCTCATCGAGCCCTCCCCTGGCCAGCGAACCTCTTGCAGAGCCACGACATCCAAATTGTACCCATTCACCTCATTCGCGACCGATTTTAGCCCCCTGCTGTGTTTAAACTCCTTACGTTCCACGTACCAATATTTAAATCCCTATATTTCAACTTGCGCCATGAATCCCCTAAAGCAGTCCCCACCCGGAGACCCGAACGGGGGACTAGTTTACCTCCGGATAATGAGCGTTTTACCTTAGGGAGATCCATGACTATTTGTGGTGTTTGGTGAACTAAAGATATGTGAGTAGGGCGTTCAATCCTACGTCACACCCTCCAGCAAGTCTGGTGGGCCCCTACCTCCAGCAAGTCTGGAGGTCCCCTCCCTCCAGCAAGTCTGGAGGGCCCCTCTCATTGTTGGTCAGCGAGTCCATCGGACTTAGCCGGGAGGAATTTCCAAGGAATTTCCACCGACCATCCCCACATCCGCCACCCGTGGGACGCTCCCCATACGCGGTAATGAGCCCGCGCGAGGTTAAGTTTAATATTATTAAAATAAATATATGCTATAAATCATCAACTTTGTCGATGTTTCATTAAATCTACCTAAAATTATGTTTTCCACACAACAGCTCATACTTATTAAATAACAAAAACCTTAGTAATTGACTATTACAATATATGTATATAAAAAATAGTAGAGACACGTCCCGGCCTTCGGTCCGCTGGGTCTTGGAGCCGAGAAAAAATATTTTATATCATTCAAGAGAAATTTATGTATTGTTTTTTTCCTGCTTTGCTTTTTGCCCGTGTGGTTACGGGGTGGTTAACCAAAGGTAGGAAAAAAACAATACATAAATTTCTCTTGAAATAATATAAAATATCTTTTTCTCGACTCCAAGATAAATCGGACCGAAGGCCTGGATGTGTGTCCAATATTTTTGATTGAAGTTGATGATTTATAGCATATATCTAATGTAATAATATTAAACATAAGCTTAAAATATGAGGGTATATTATGCTCATACTATGTATGAAACATATAAATATTGA